GGTGGAGTGTGAGGAGGGCTGGGCTGGGCAGGGGAGGTCAGGGAGAGCTCTGGAGCAAGGGGCATCCAAAGGCCGAGGGAAGGGGTGAAGAAGAGCTGGGAACGTGAAAAAGAGCCTGGGACCCTGAAAGGACCAAAGGGGTGGGAGATCTAGGGCCTTGCCAGATGGCTGCTAGAGGAGTTCGGGTTCTCTCCTGAGGGTGAGGGCATCGCAGGGAAGGGTGTTAAGCAGGGGTCCTACGTGATCAGGTTTGCCAGGGACATTCTTATAGCTGTGAGAAATGGGCTGGTGAGGCTGGAGTAGGGCACCCAAAGAGCAGAGATGTGGGATGGAGGGGAGGAGTGCTTGAGACACCTAAGAGGGAACCATGGGAATGCTCAGCCCAGATGAGTGGGTGGGTGATCGCACCCAAGACAAAAAGTAGGCCAGAAGTACGGGGTAGGGATAGGGATGGGAAGGTGATAGGGTCTTGGGCTGGGGAGTCTGTGAGGCTGCCAGAAAGAAGCTTCCAAGGATGCAAAAAACACTGAGTTTGTTGCCCAGGAGAGGCCTGCACTGGGGACAGATGTGGGTCCCCTTAGCAGCTGGACAAGGAGCTGTATAGACAGCAGGGGCAGAACCTGGGAGCACAAATGGGAGGCATGGAGGCTTCAGAAGAGGAAGCCAGGAGCCTGCAGGGAACATGCTGTCAACGGATCTTACCTGACAGGTCCTCAGACTGGATTTCCTAGGGGGAAGAGTGTAGAGTGGCCCTGGCACTCCTGACACCCTGCTCCTCTCCCCAGAAGCCCCTGCAGCAGCTGTGGAATGCCATCCTGCTGGTGGCCATGCTCCTCTGCACAGGCCTCGTGCTCCAGGCCCAGCGGCAGGCATCAAGGCAGAGCCAGCGGGAACCTGGAGGCCAGGTGAGAGCCAGCCCCCACCCCCTACTCCCCCAGGAACCCGGGTGCCCCCAGCCTTCCATCTGGCCTCCTTGTGCCTGCCCTCCCCTGCCAGATGGATCTGCTCAAGCACCGCGTGGTGCGGAGGCTGGCATCCCTCAAGACCCGGCGCTGCCGTCTGGGCAAGGCAGCACAGGGCCCCCCAGAACCTGGTGCTGAGACCTGCGCTGTGTGTTTGGACTACTTCTGCAATAAGCAGGTTAGTGTCCTGGGCCATGGCCAGCCATGAGCTGACCTATGATGTCTCTCTCTATTCCCGAGACCCCAGAACCGTGCTTACTGGGTCCTTATCCTGCCAGCTCCTACTGTAACTAGAAAGCAGAATGGGGTGGGGGAGTGCAATCGGCCACAGAAGTTTCAGCTCCACCGCTCAGGTGGGGGCCAGGCATCCCCACTTGGAGATCCCCCCAGCCCTTGACTCTGTGGCCTGAACCCTTCCTGCATACCCTGCAGTGGCTCCGGGTGCTGCCCTGTAAGCATGAGTTTCACCGAGACTGCGTGGACCCCTGGCTGATGCTTCAGCAGACCTGCCCACTGTGCAAATTCAACGTCCTGGGTGAGCACCTGGGGTGGAGGCCCTTGGCTAGCTACACCTGCTCCCCACCTGACACCTCCCTACCTGTTTTTCCCTCCTATCCTACAGGGAACCGCTACTCAGATGATTAGCTGCCCCACTTGGGTCTCTGCATGTGGGCACAGGACCTTCCCACCTGCACCCTGGCCCCAGGCCTGGGCTCCTGGATCAGAACAGCGGGATGGACAGGAAGCCCTGCTGGTGGGAGGAAGGATAGGGGCCTCCCCTGCAGAGGGCAAGGCATCCCATCCCATCATATACTGGAAGAAGAGACCACAGCCCCCCAGTCCAGTGATGCAGGGTCTGGACCTGCCAGTCAAGAAAGAGAAGCCACGTTGGGGCCTTTCTCTTCCATCATGGGGGGCTATCTGTCCTCCTCACAGGCAGATCCCAGGACCCCAGGACCCTGCCCGGGGTGTGGGGCGTGCAGCCATTCCCAGGGCCCTGGCACCTCTCTGACTTGCCTGTTGGGGGACCCCTGGGGACTGAGGCTGCAGTGGCTGGCCAGGCTTTATGCTTATTTATTGGGGGTTGGATTGTGGGAGGAGCTATCTGGCCTTGGGGACACCGCAGCCTGACCCTCTTTCAGGACATGTTGGTCAAAGCTGTGATGTTCAACCAAGAGGCCCCTCCCCTGACAATGCCCTCAACCCTTGGACACTAGGAGCTGCAAGTGCTGCTACTGCCTGTCCAGCTGGGCTCCCTTCCCAGGCCTGGCTGGGACCAGAGGCCTCTGAAGCCATCCAGTCCTGTGCTTCTTGGCCGGGCTACAGGTTGCTGACCAGGATACTTGAAGCTGCAGGATAAATGTGGTGCATCTTTCAGGGGCAGCCGGGTTTTTTTTTAGATTTGGGGTAGGGGAGGTTTAATATTGAAGTAAACATGGATATATTTTAGCATAAGCTATCAGATGTGTGTGGATGTCTCAAGACAGAAAAGTCGCCTTGGGCTCTACTGCCTGTGGGAGGTGGATTCTAAGACGGGCCCCAAGATCCCACCAGTCCTAATGAACACACCTTGTTATAAACCTGCAACTGTGAGTCTAATGGATTTTACTCCCATGCTTAGGTTATCTTACATGGCACGGTTGACCTTAGGATAGGGAAAGTATCCAAGAGGGCCTAACCTAACCATGAGAGCTCATTAGAAGCAGAGTTTTCTCTGGCCTGGTGGAAGAAGAGGAAGGGCATTCAGTGCGGGAGAAATTCTCTGTTGCTGACTTGAAAATGGAGGGGGCCGCGGGCAAGGAAGGCAGGTAGCCTCTAAGAGCTAGGAGTGGCCTCTGCTGACAGCAGCTCTGCCAAAATCAGAATGAGCCTGGGAGTGGGTTCTTTCCCAGAGCTGTCAGGAAGGTAACATGGCAGATACTTGGATGATCCTGAATGGAGGACCCAGCCACAAGGCCTGAACTTCTGACCTTCAGAACTGTGAGCAGACGGGAGCTGCGCTGTGATGGGTGCTCCCTCTGGACTTGGGCCCATGCCTCCTGCCTCCGGAACCCCACCCCAAGGGCTGGCTCTCACCTGTGAGGGGCAGGGCCAGGGCCTCCCAGCTTCCCTCAGGAATGCCAGGTTTGACAGAAGCCAGAGTAGGGCAGACAGTGGCCCTGCCAGTTCACCTACACATGTGGCCCCTCTCAACCCTTCTCTGAGTGAAGGCACCCTACCTGCTGGCCTCACCAGGGGAAAATGTCATATCAAGCTGGGAGTGCCCACCCTAAGGAGTCCTCAGCAAGGCCTTAGAGCCTATCCTTCACGGACGAGGGACTCAGCAACTCAGGACAGGCTGGAGGCTTTGTGAAGAAAACTGGATGGCGGGCCTGATGTAGGTGGGTGGCATCAGTGCTGGGGCCCCAGGAGACAGGCCTGGGAAAGCCAGAGCTTGCTGAGTGTCCCATGGTCTGGTTATGTGAGGCCTTGCCCTGCCTTTTAGGGATCCAACCTCCTGGATTTAGAGAAACCCTCTGACTCATATTTCCTGAATGTGAAGTTCCTCAGTAAAATGAGAGCTGACTTCTTCGGTCCTTAAGGTCCCCGTCCCAGGTTCAGAACTGGGGCAGGAGGCCCCAGGCCCAGCTCAGCATTGGGGAAGGCTTCCTTGCCCTCTGCCTTCCTGTAAGCCCAGAGCCAGGACCCCCTTTTCTGACTCCTTCCTCACTGGGCCTACTTTGGTAGCTGTTCTCCTTCCCTGACATACCCCCTATCCTGACCCTGCTCTTCATTGGTAGGGGTCGCTGAGTCCATGCCATCCTTTTGCCCATGGGGCTGAAGGATTGCCTTTCATCTGGCCCAGGCGCTACAGCTTCCTTTTGTCTCTGGTGTGCCCTCCTCCCACTGCTCTGTCAGGACGGAGGCAGGTAGTGCTGATTTACTGAAGGCCCACAGTGTGCCAGGCCTCTGCTGGCAGATGACCTCTGTGGCTGGGGACTCAGTGGTCCCTGCCCAAAATGGGGAAGGGAGGACTCTGCCTCTGGCTCAGCCAGTGATGTAAGGCCAAGGTTGCTGTGGGGAGATGGCCGGGGCTTTATTACATGGAATGGGTTGCCAGCCACCTGCCCCCCAGTCCCACTGCACAGCAGGCTATGTAGGCCGCTCCTGGGGCTGGTATGCAGGGCTGGCCTGTCCCTGGCCTGGTGACAGTCTCCTCCTCAGCCTGGCCAAGGCCCGGATGGGGTTCTGAGCACAGTTGGTTGAGTGGGTCATGTCCTCCAGGGAGGACTTGCTGGGCCGACTGCAGGACTGCTGAAGTGGGGATGCCTGGAGCTGGCATGGTAGGGTCCGGCCCGCACTGGGTGTCCTGCTGCTAGGCAGGTGCCGCCTGCCCAGGGGCCTGAGGGAGGACCAGATGGCAAGATCCCCTGTGAGTAAGGGGGACCAGCCCACCCCTGTCTGCCCCACCTCTATCAAAGCCTTACTCACCCTGGGGATGCTTTCTGGGCCTGAGCTGCAGGCACTGCTCTCTCGATTCCCTTGCTTGGAGGGGCCCAGAGCTGGTCCTGCGGGATCAGCTGCAAAGAAAGCCAAATTCAGAAAGGCCCAGGAAAACTCTCTGCACTGTTCAGCAAGGGTGTCCTTGCCGTGGAGGGGGAGAGAGGGCCCAAACCAGTACCCACAGCCCCTTCCTCTGAGGGGCAGGGATTGGGAAGCCTTCCAGGGCCACCTCAGCTGCAGTAAGTGTGGGAAGTTTTGCTTTCTGACAAGGCTCCAGGTTGTAGTTGAAATAAAAGTAACAAGAGCTGGGGGGGGGGGGGAGTTTGGAACTGGCAAGTACTGTAACACTCCTGCCTGCTTGAAACATGGAAATCATGTGACGAGGCAGGCTTTCAATAGGTTCCCAGGGAGGGGTTGGAAGACCTGCTGGGTCAGGGGCCTCCTCCAAGTTCCAAGGGCTGGCCCTCTCAGGTTGGGGAGCCAGGCTGCACACCTTGAGGCTCCCCTGCTGAGCTACCTCCCGAATTTTGGACAGCATAGACCGGAGCCTCCCATTCTCCTCCTGCAGGACTTGGATGCGGATGTCGTTGGCCTGGACCTGCCTCTCCATGTCATCTGTAACGTTGCCGGAGCCTGCAGGGACATACTGTCTTTTATCTCACCCCGCCAGGGCTGCCTCTTGTGCCCAGTAGAATGGGACCTCCTAGGGTACACACACCAGCTGAGCTGGGTCAGTGCACTAGGCCTCTCCCCTCGTCTTCCTTCTCCTGAGGTCTGATCCCTGTTTCCCACTCTCTACCTGCTGGGAGGTGACCATAGCATTGTAGAATTTAAGAACTGAGTGGGACCTCAAACTCCCTGGAGACTTTGTAACTAGATGAGAGTGAATCTCTTTCCAAAGCTCTCTGTTTTCAGAGGGCCAGAGAGACAGTGAGTTGTCTAAAGTCATGTAGCCAGCTCCGGGGTATGAGTCACAGGAATTCAGCAAAGACATTCTTTCCCACCACTTGGAAGATAATATGCTTTCTTTCTGACTCCATGAACCAGAGCAAGTTGCTGCCTGCTTTGCTTCTTGGTTTTGTGGTTTGTAAAAGGGCTGTTACCCATCTTGTGGCATGGATCAGAAGACAACGGAAGGGCCTGGCACATAGGACTCAGGACTGATGACCTATTGTGACCAGCTAAATTTCGGTGGATCCTCCAAGAGCTCTCAAGTGGATTCACCCTCCCGGGATGAGGGCTGGAGGGCCTGGAATGAGAAACTAGGTTGCCTGGCATCCCATCCTCTGCTGAGACAGGTACCTAGCTCTCCTATGCCATGGGATGCATGACATTGGACACCTGAGGCTGTGCCCATGGAGATAGCTCCATGGTATGGTTTGGGGAGACACCAGGATGGGGGACACAAGGACGCTGAGCAAGGACTGGTATGTGATACGGTAAAGAGCACAGGCTACAGACACAGTTAGACCTGCACATGGACTCAGCCATGCGACAATGAGCAGTCACCTCCCTTCTGGGCTTCCATGTTCCCATCTACACAGAGTAGATAACACATGAAGCACCTGTGCATTCTGGGGACCCGGTAGGGATCATGCTGCAGGCTGAGGAGCTGCAAACTCCAGTGTCTTGCCCAGGTGAGCCCTCAGCTGCCTGTCCATGCCCTGGCCACCACCTCCGGGCCCCTACTTGGGATTTGGGCTTCGATGGGTCTGTGCAGGTCTGGGAAGGCCACCAGCAGCCGCTCCCGCTCCCTCAGCTCCACAAGCTCGCGTTCCAGCTCCGATATGGTCACCTGCAGATCCGTCGTGGCCTGCTCTAGGCCTTGCTTCTCCCATTGCAGGCTCTGCAGCAGCTCCTAAGGCAGGGAGAGGCTCAAGTTTTGCCCAAGGAATGGCTCCTGGCTCCCGTGGGGCACCCCCCTCCCATCCAGACACAGCACAGGTCTATAGGCACTTAGCTGGCCAGAGGCCTCTCTGGTGAAAGGGAAGAGCCAGCCCACACCCTTACCCTGCTAGCTCCTACCTGCTGGGCCAAGACCTGGCTCTGTCCCTGTTCCCTCTCACTCTGTACACTCAGCAGCTGCTCCTCCATGTTGGCCCGCTGGGCCTCGGCCTCATCCAGGCTGCCCCTCAGCTCCTCACGCTCCTGGTCCAGGCTGTCCAGCTGCTGCAGCAGGGCTCGCTGTTTGGACTGCAGGGACTAAGCCAGAGTGGGCGGGCAGGGAGTCTGTGAGGCCCACGGGGCAAGGCCCAGCCACAGGACAAAGGAGGCTACAGTATCTTCCACCCTCCCCCTGTGCCTCACATACAGGGGAGGCTGTGCACATGTGTGCAGCAGAAGGGGCAGAGGGGAGACAGGTGCATAGCCCACTGTACTCCCCCAGCCCAGTCAGGGCCAGGCCCCCCAACCCCTGCCCCCTTGAAAGCAGCTATCAGTCTAGTCCCCTCTTCTTTTTAGTCACAGTCTCCACTTGGAGAGGAATTCTGGCCAATACACTGTGCTGCTTCTCCTTAGGTCTCCTGTGTCCCATCAGCCCATGTCACTTGGGACCCCCATTTCCTGACACCCGCTGAATGCAAAGCCGGAAGAACCAGTGCTGGTCTGCTCTGAGTCCTTGCTCCATCTCTGGCTAGCTGTGGCGCTTTGGGCATTTCCTTAATCTCACCACGCCTCAGTCTCCTCATCCATAAAATAGGGATGACAAGAGTATCTACCTCTTACCATTGTGGTAAGGAATAAAAAAGAGGGCTACAGAGGCCAAAGCCCAGCACCTCGTTCACAGCACACATCTGCTATCTGGTGACTGTGACTGTTCGCAGGGCACTGAGAAGAGCACCTGCTTGGGATTGAAAGGCTTTCCCATCCTGGGCCATGCCTGACACTGGGGCCTTCTATCTGGGGTCTTAGCTTCCCCACCGAGCTTCTGAGAGGAAGACCAGTCAGTACAGTTTCCGGACCCATCCCTTTCTCTAGATGGCAGGTCACCTGCTCCCTCAGCCTACTCTTATCCAATGCCTTGCCTCACCCTTTGCCCTCCCTATTCTTCCTGATAGACTAGTCACTAGCCCTTAGCATCCAGTTCAAAGGCCATTTCCTCCCAGAAGCTGTCCTGGGTGACTGTCCCTCTGTGGCCCCCTGCTATACTTTCCCTGCACCTCTTAGCCATCTGGCAGCAAAGCTGTGTGGCTGGGGAGCTCCTCCAGAACAAGGCAAGGCCTCCTTTGGCTGTATCTGTCCTTGGGTCACTGTTTCCCCAGTGGGTGTGTGTTGGAGAGCAGGTACTCCACAGATAAGCCTCTACCCCCACCAGTGGAGCTCTCTTCCTGCAGCAGCCTCTGTTGCAGAAGTTCCAGGTGCTAGGGGCGCCTCACCTCCTGGTGGCGGACCATGCTGTCAATACGGGCCTTCTCCTTGTCCAGCTCTGTGCTGGCCCAGTGGATCTGCTGGCTGGCCCCATCCAGCCGCCCGGCCAGCAGTTGCACCTGCTCCTCCAGCTGCTGCACTTGCCTCTCGGCCTCTGCCCTGCGCACAGCCTCCTCTTGAAGCTGCCGGGCCTTTGTCTCTGCAGAATTGATTGCGCACGGGAAGGGACAGAGCAGGGGAATCCTGGGTGTAAGTCCTTGCACTGCCTCTGACCCAGGTGGGGTGGGAAGGGTCACAGCCTGTCTCTGGGCCTCAGTGTCCTCAGCCACAAAATGGGGCTCTGAACCCTTCCTGAAGTGGGTTGTGCAAACAGAAGTTGCTCTCTGGGTGGGAGATGGCACCCCACCCAACAGTGTGACCAGTCAGGCCCATCCTTGTGGTCCCTTTCTCTCTGCCCCAGAAGCCCAGGGGACAAGAGACAGAGGGTGCTTATCCAGCTGCACCACTGAGCACAGGGCATGTGGCAAAGGGCCACATGATGGGGCTCCTCACCCATGGCCTGCATGGACTCCTGTTGCTGCTCCAGCTCCCCCTCCAGGGTGGCCACCTTCATCTTGAGGTCACTTGTTTCTATGGCAAGAGAGAGAGGTCCGTCAGAGGTTCCCTTGGGCCTGGCCAGCGCCTTCACTCCCAGTGCACCCTGCAGGGTAGTGGCAGCTGTTGCTGTGTGGAAGGGTTGCCTGGGTTTGCAGAAGCTCTGGGCAGGTGCCAGAAGGCCTGGGCCCCCATTCACCCTGCTTCCTATTGACCAGCTGCCATGTCTCTACACCTCTCTGGGCCTCAGCGTCCTCCACAGAGGGAACAGGCTCAGAAAAGGCCAGTGACTTGCCCAAATCCCTCAGGCCTCACAACAACAGCAGGTGCTGGCCCACTTCCGGTGCCATAGCTGTGTCTTTGCCTGATGGCTTTCATTGAAGCTCAGGCAGCTGCTCTGCCAGCTGGAGGTACCAGGACTGTAGCTCCCCAGGGAGTCCCCTTCGATGACACACAGGAGTGAGCAGATGAATTCTCCAGCTCCCTTGCCCTCTGACAGAACAACTCTGAGCCATGTGTTCTATAGCACCAGCTCCAGTGTTCCTCCATGGGGTTAAGCTCCAGATGCCTGCGGTATAACCAGCCTGATGAGCAGCCTTCCCTCTGTATCTCTTAGCCACTCCCTGGCCTGGGTTTCTTGACACCAACTACTTGTACCTGCAGCCCTGTTATGGGGTCCTGGGAGGGCCCGCGCTAAGGCTGTAGCCAGCCCTGAGACTAGGGGTCTCCAGGACAGCTTCTGGGAGGAATTGGCCTTTGCACTAGGGACACAGACCTTTGAGCAGTTGTTGCTTGTTCTGCTCCCACTCCACCAGGTGCTGTGCAGCCTCATCCGCCTGTCGCCGCCGCTCCCCCTGCTCCTGCTGCAGTGCCCGTTCCAGCTGGCCCACCTGCTTCTTCAGTCCATTCTTCTGCCCCTCAGCCTCCTCCAGCTGGGCCCTAAGTGGCCCAACAAGCTGAGTGAGGGCACCTATGTGCTTAGTGAGGCGTGTCAAGTCTTTGCTCTGCTCTACTGCCCAGTGGCCCATGGTGGTGGCCGGCAGTGGCCTGAGGCCCATGCTGTCCTGTACCAACTGCTGGAACTGGCCTAAGGACGAGGGCAAGTTCTGGCTCTGACACAGGCTGATGATCACCTTGCCCACCTCCCGCAGGCTGCCCTGGACGCTGATGCATGCATCGCAGGGCACCAGCGCTGTCTCCACAGTCTGGGAGTGAACGCTCCTACTGTTCTTGGCAGTCCTGGTTGGACACTGTAGGGGGACGCTGATGGGGAGGCTGTCCAGCTCTTGGCAGGTCTGGGGCAGGTCTGGCATCGGGGAGGGGGGCTTGATGAACTTGGCAGTCACAAATTCAGGGCTCCTGGCTGGTTCACCCTTGGCTGTGGGCTTAGAGGTGAGGTTCTCACCTTGGTTTACCCTTTTCTGTGGTCAGGAAAAGAAAGGGAAAGCAGATGAGGGAGACAGGCCTGGGAGGTGATCAGTATCCTGGAGATATTCTGTGCAGCCTCTCCTGATGTGCAGATCCTTAGATATTATCTGATACCAATGTGAATGAGAGAGAGAGAACCTTTTTTCTATGTAGCCTCAACTTACCAAGCAAAGGCCAACTCTCTGCTGCTCCCTGTCCCAGCCCCAGGCTCCATGTAATAACATCCATGATACCAGGAGTGTAACAGTGAAGCCACAGCTGCACATCATAGGGTTCTCGCCTAGTGGACTAGCTTGATCTTAATGTCACCATAGGTGCTCTCAATTTTCCTTTCCTCCATGTTATGGTGATGGTGGTCCTTCTCACGGAGATTTGTGAAGATTACAGGATAAGCCATAACAAATGGGGCTAATGTTAACATTACCCAACAATGCCCCGCAAAATGGAGAGACTGTTGTTATTCTCACCATACAGATGAAGTGAGGTTCAAGATAGGTAGGGACTTTTCCCAAAGTCCCACAACATAAACAGCACAGCCAGGTAGCCCAGACATGACTCCCTAGGCCTGCATTGCTGACTACATACTGCATGGCCCTCGACTGAGAGGCTCCAGAGTTAACACTGTCTCCTTCAAGCAGCATGAAGCCCGCGGAAGTTACACATGTGGTGTGCAAGGAAGCTGGGACTGGGGCAGGGTGGACAGGTGTGAGGGTAGCCAGCTCACCTGAGGGGATGCCTGCTGATAGATCATGCCCAGCTTCAGCAGGCTGTTCCAAAAGCGCCGCACTGTGAGCCCCACAGACATGCAGGGCCCCACAGCCCGGGCAGGGGGCACCGTCTGCTCCAAACCAAGGTTCTCCAAGTAGCTTGCACAGCTCTGAAGCAGCAGCAGGAGCCTGTGGGCAGAGATGGCAGGGTCAGCTAGGACAGAACCTGGTGCCAGTGTGCCTGCACACCACCACACGACTAGTAGCCTCTGGCTCTGGGGGCCTAGAGGACCTTGGAATATCCTCTGCCCGACCCACTTCAAACCCAATCCAGGAGCCACTTCTTCTAGGAAGCCCTCCCCAAAGGCTGAACTTGGGGACCTCTCCTGGGCCTCCCAGCTGACAGCACTTCTGCCCAGCTATTCCCCACCACACTGGATGCTCTGGTAGACCGGGTCTCGCTTCAGTTGTATGGTACATGCTCGGCAAGTGCTAGGTGGGTGGCTGTGGCTCAGAACCTTCACCTTACAGAGGACAGCTGAGACCCTGCGAGCACCTGTGAGCCTGCCCACAGCCTCAGGGTGAGCATGCAGGGCAGGGGCGCCCAGCAGTTTCCTGATCCTAGTCAGGGTCATCTTCTGCAGGGCAAGCTGCTTCTGTGACATCGGAAATGTAAGTGTCATCTAGACACTAGAGGTGTCTATCCTAACTTTGATTTTCTTTTTTTTTTTTTTTTAATTTTTTAAAATTTTTATTTATTTATGATAGTCACAGAGAGAGAAAGAGAGAGAGGCAGAGACATAGGCAGAGGGAGAAGCAGGCTCCATGCACCGGGAGCCCGATGTGGGTCTCCAGGATCGCGCCCTGGGCCAAAGGCAGGCGCCAAACTGCTGCGCCACCCAGGGATCCCTAACTTTGATTTTCAAAATTAGAGTCGAGCTGCTTTTAAGGAAGAGAGGCATTAGAAGGACAAGTTTGTATTTGAATGGGAACCATGCTATCTTAAAGGAAGAGGTATTGTATTTACAAAACATCTGGGCAGGTTAAGCAACCTTGTCTTGTTCCAGGCGCAGAGAGGTCATCCTAAACCTACTGGAGTCTTGGGCAAAAAAGGTCTGGGGGACAAGGCACCACCTGCTTTCAGGCCCTGCCCCAATCTGTGCCAAGGTGTCTTCCACTATGAATGGGAGGACTGTGCCTGCCTGGGGTGGCATTCAGGGGTGGGAAAGCACCTGGAAAGACACAGCATGGCCTGGACAGAGAGGGTGGAGAAGACATGTCAGCAATAGCTTCACAGGCACATGGGGAGACTGGGCCTTGATGGATGAGCAGGGCTTGGCCAGAGACCAGGAAGGGGTGGGCAGGGCACTCTTAGCAGAGGGCACAGCACACGTAAAGGCATGGAATAAGGATGATGTGTTCTATGCTTATGTATTAGCCTCTCACAGGTTACAAATAATACTTTCATGTGGCTCAGAGCCTTCACCTTATAGAGGACAGGTGTCCCCAGGCAGGTTACCCCCAAGCTGCTGGTGTCCTTGCCTGCTAGGCTTCCATGACTTCAGTATGTATATGGTTCTGGAACACGGGGAACCTGGGTTGTGGTCCCCAGGAAGTGGAAGGCTGATGGCCATGTTAAGTTTAATGACAGCGAAGAAGTGGAGGGGCTGCAGGGCAATCTTCCCAATAGAGCCAGAGTCTGGAAAATCATATCCCAAGTCTGACCTGGTGACCTGCAGTAGGAACAGCATAGCCCCCGAAACACTAGGAAAAAGGGCCTGGGATGGAAACTCTGAGCAGCATGTGGTATCCCCGATGCACGGAAACCCTAAGGAGGCAGCTCATGGAAGCTGCAGAGGCAGCCCTTGGAGGTGCAGGGCTGCAGGGACCTATAGGGGGGCTAGCAACTCCCTGAGGGTGGAGAGCATCAGAAAGCACAGCACATGACAGAAGCTGAGATCACTGAAGGCCCTGAGCTGGCCAGCCTCCTGACAGGTACTCAGTTAAAGGTGACTATTGTTACCAACGTGATCCCTGCTGGGGGTGGGGATCCCGAGGCTGGTCTACTGGTTTAGGGGTAGATGCAAGCACCCTGAGATCACCAGGTTTGGTCAAGGCCCTCACCTGTCGATGACCAGCTCCAGCAGAACAGCATGGGACAGCTGTGTGAACTCGGGGTCACCTGGCACGTGGTCATAGTGCTCTAACAGGGCCACCATGTCCAGGTCACAGGCCACGCGGTCAGGGAACTTCCAGGAGGGGAAGCGCACAGGCCCAGCACGAGAGAACACGTCCACAATGGCTCCCTGAAGGTCAGTAAGGTCCTTGCGCAGATTGTCCATGCAGGACTGGCTGCCCAGCAGGTGTGCCATCCTCGTGATTCCTGGGGTGAGCAGAGAGGATCCCTGTTAGCCAGAGCCACATGGTTGCTGCTGGAGGAAATTTCAGCATCCGGATCTGCCCAATTGGTTAGATCTAGGCTAAAAGTCCAACCTAGACCCTGAGGAAGAGTCTTTTGCAGGCCTAGAGCCCTTTGTTACCTGGTTGTGGAGAGACCTCACCAGAATCCCTCTCCTTCAACCTGTCCCACGTCTACATTGCCAATCCCATGGCTCTACCAGTTCCTCCAAGGGCCTGGGTGTGCCACACCCCTACTAAAGGCTGGGTATACATCTATGAACAAGAAGTACCCACAGTCCTCTCCCTCAGCAAACCACTGAACAGGCTATTGACGACTGAGAGTCGTGGCTACAGTGTGACAGGAAGTGCTGGATCATACTGAGCTACCATCATCTCCTTCCTGGACCATTGCAATCACTTCTGACAGGGCCACAGGTCTGCCCCCTCTAAATGACGCGCTTCAACCTTAGAGATCTGGGCCAAACTTGATCTGACCATGTCATACTGGCCAACACCCCTCAGAGCTCCCTTAGGAGAAAGGCCACCTCTGGCTGCAGTCTCCCCCCAGCCTTTTCTAGTCCCCATACCACCATCCTACACTCTGCATTCCAACTCCTGTCAGCTCCAAGGAGCGGCTCAGGGGCAGGCACTCATTTCTGAACCTGGGCCCATCTGTCCACTCTGTATGAATCATGCTTTCCTCATCCAATTCCCATCAGCCGCCTAATTCTTCTCATCCTTCAGGCTTTCTGGAAATCACCTTCTCCAGGAAGCCTTCCCTGAGCACCCTCCAGGCTGGGTCGGATAATCTCTCTCTAGGCTTCCCCCATCTGGACTGTGATCCCTCTCTGCTGGAATGGCCTTCACACTCTAGGCCAGGTCCCAGTCTACCTTAGCCACTGGAATCCCCCATATGGCCAGCCTAAGGCCTGGCCCATTGTAGAGGCTCACTGGCAAGTGAATGACTGAGTAACTGAATAGAGAAATGAAAAGATTCCACAAAGAAAAATATGTTGATTTGGGGGAAAAATAAGTTCTAAGGTGTAAGAGAGGAAAATCTAAATATTTTTATCCATACCAAACCTGATCATTCTGGTGACAGGGGGCCCATCATATGTGAATACAGAATCCCAGTCCTGCCCTTTCCTGGCTGTATGGCCTCAGGCAAGTAAGTCACTGTACCCCTATGAGCCCTAGCTATCTCAGCTGTAACGTGGGCACACCATCCCCAGCCAGGCCGGGGGGTTGTGAGGCCATTAAAGGTATCCATGAATAAAGTGTTTGATCTAGGGCAAGACACCAGTAAAAGTATACAAGCAATCGTAACCATTAGTCTTGTGATTACTATTATTAGCAGCAACAACAGCAAAGAGCATCTTTGTCTGCAGCCATTGCCTGCCTTCTGTATGTTCCCCTTTCCCCCTGCAGCCCACACATAATGCTTCTCATCCACCTCTGGAGTCTGCGGATATCTGAAGCCAGTGATTTGGATGAATGGTCCCTGGTTCTTGACTCAGAAGGTGGAGAAGCATGACATTATCTTGGGCTCTCCAGTGGCTCATCACATGACTTGCCAGTTTCACCCTCTTCTCTCTGTTCAGGGCTGGGCAGGCCTGGTCTCTCTCCACCCTGCAGCCTTCACCCTGCTGCAGGGTCCCTGTGTCCTTTCTCAGCAGCAGAAAGCACTTCTACTCCTCCTCCCTGCACTGCAGGGGCTGCGTGGGCAGTATTTAGGCCATGGCTGGTCTCTCTGATCCCCAGCAAGTCCAGGAATCTCTCTTACTCCAACCCACTTCCAGCCCAACCTCACTCATCTCAGAAAATGGCACCCCTACTATGTGCAGCGGGGTACTTCCTTTACCCCCTATCCAAGCACTCAGGGCTGCCAATCCCGTGTCCAGACCACACTGAGAACCCATCACTGTGTTTGTTGGTGCTGTTCCACGCTCCATTTTCTCTCCAGACCACTGCCACAGCCTCCTTGAGGGGTCACCCCCATCCTACCCAGCACCACCTACTCTGTTCTGTATATGGCCAGGGTGATCATTTAAAAGGCAACTCACCTCTGCACAGGTGCCTGCCTATGAAGCTGGATGTCTGACTGTCAGGCTAGCTTGTAGGCTCTGGGGTTCAGGTCAGAGGCTCATCCAGGTGCCTGGCTTCCAGTCTCTAGTGCAGAGCTGGCCCTAAGTAGCTCTTCAACTTGAGAATGGATGAAGGCAAGAATGAGTGAATGGGCACTCAGGAAGGCTTCCTGGCAGGGAGGAGGGCAGGGACGAGGCTGTCCCAGAAGGGGAGCGTGTCCTGGGCTGGAGGAATGCTTATGTGGGGTCATCTGTCTTGAGCCTGAGCACAGACGTTGTGCTTTAACAGTGCTAGGCCCTGACCACAGGACCTACTGTGTGCTACCTCCTGAATCTGCCTCTTTAATACAGATGAGGATGGGATCCCTGGGTGGCTCAGTGGTTGAGCATCTGCCTTTGGCTCAGGTTGTGATCCTGGAGTCCTGGGATCGAGTTCTGCATCGGGCTCCTGGCAGGGAGCCTGCTTCTCCCCCTGGCTATGGCCTCTCTCTCTCTGTGTCTCTCATGAATAAATAAAAAATACATGCATATTCAGACAAGGAACTTGAGGTTCTGGAAACTAAGGGATTAGCCCAAGGTCACTCAGGGAGCTAGGATTCTTGAATCCAACATCTCTGCTCTGTCTTCAGGCCACGCTGCTTGTAGGGCAGCACTTAAAAGAAATATAATGCTACCCACATATGGGATTTTAAATTTTCTACTAGCCACAAAACAAGCAAAAAGAAGCAAATAAATTAATTTTAATTAAATACTTTATTTAACCTAATAAACCCCAAATACTATCGCTTCAACATGAAATCAATGTAACAGCATTAAGGAGATTATTTTGCAGTCTTTACATTCAGTCTCAAAATCCAGTATCTATTTGACACTTACAGCACACCTCAGTTTGGACCAGCTACCATTTTCAAATGCACCACCACACGGATTAGTGGCTACCCTACTGGACAGTGCAGGTATAGAGGGTCAGACCCTGTGTGTTCATTAAGCAAATGGTGACTGTATACCTTTGACATTTTGGGCACGTGTCAAGAATAGGGACAGAGTAGGACACACAGAGCCCTGTCCCTAAGAGCCACCGCCTACCTCTGAGGATCTGTACAGGGTGGCAAGTTTTGGTGTGTTAGCTCTGTCAGTTCTATCCACAGGGCAATGAGTATCCACCCTACAACACTCACAAAGACACACAGGCCCACATGCCCGCACACATATGTTGCCACATGAGATGATGCCTCATGAGATATGGCCACCACCTGTGAGATTTTATATCTCCAAGGAATGAAGCAGAAACAAACAGACTGAAAGATTCTGGGTTTCCTTCCTGGAATGGGAGGGAGGAAAGCAAGCAAGCAAGTAAGCCATCCTGCCCTGGGAGGAGGCATATTCAGGAGGCAAAGCACCTAAAACTCAAGAACTTGTCTGTGAAGACATCAAGAAACACTGACTTGCTCACCCTCAAATAAGCTGGATGTCTGGCTGTCAGGCTAGCTTGTAGGCTCTGGGGTTCAGGGTCAGAGTCAGGTCAAATAACTATAGCTGCTATCTGGGGCCATCTGAGATACCAACTCCTGTTAGATTCTGGTTCTGATAAGCAGCCACAAATGCCGAAGCATCAATAATATGTAAGAGGAAAACAACATTGAAAAGTAGCCAGTTATCTTATGTCATTTCTTCTGAATATTGGGGATTTCTAAGTTAGAAACATGGTTTGAGAATCACTTAGGTGTGTGACAAGTGAAGGAACATTTGACATGCGTTTTCTCTGTAATTCTTGGGTCTTGAGTGGAACCCCTCAGCTTGAAGCTGCCAGCCCCGCATTGACTATTTCTGAGATCATACAGGTGATGGCACTAACTGGGTGGACTTCGCCCTCTCCTCAGTTACCTCATGCTCAAGGTAGACTTTTGACTTGCAGAGAAGGGAAGGAGCCTTTTCTCTACTCCCATTCAACATGCAAGCCCCTTCCTTCATTGAGTCATAGGACTCTACCCCGCTGGTAAAGATTATGCCTACCTCCTGGTCAATGCCCCTCCTGAGATTCAAGGTCACAACCATGAAAACATTTTGAAAACTCTGAAATTATCTATATATCCCAGTTGTCAGCCTCTGACTCAGGACTGCTAATTGCCTGGATCCCTAGGGACAATGAAGGGATTTGGTGAAGACAAAGGAATAAGCCGCTGCACTGGGAGAGGAGTAAGAATGGCCTGGGTTTGGATTCCCACGCCACTAACTCTGAACTTCACTCTCCTCATCTGTAAATAAACTGCTGTAAGAAATTAGTGATGTACTGCGTGTAGTGTTTGGTGCAATAGCTGTCCATGATAAACTTACGTTTAATAAAACCTAGTTATAAATAAAATCTTAAAAAAAAAAAAAAAAAAGGATCCCTGTGTGGTTCAGTGGTTTAGCGCCTGCCTTTGGCCCAGGGCTTGATCCTGGAGTCCAGGGATCCATTCCCACATCAGGCTCCCTGCATGGAGCCTGCTTCTCCCTCTGCCTGTGTCTCTGCCTCTCTCTCTCTCTGTGTCTCTCGAGAATAAATAAATAAAATATTTAAACAAACAAACAAAAAACCCCACAATAAGTCCTAGCTATCATTATCATTCTACATTAATAATAACGACAAGGCAGCCCGGGTGGCACAGCGGTTTAGCGCCGCCTTCAGCCCAGGGTGTGATCCTGGAGACCAGGGATCCAGTCCCACATCGGGCTCCCTGCATGGAGCCTGCTTCTCCCTCTGCCTGTGTCTCTGCCTCTCTTCTGTGTCTCTCATGAATAAATAAAATAAAATAAAAATCTTTAAAAAAATAACGACATAAACCAGCTACGGAGTGTGTGCTTGTGAGAAAGAGAGATGGGGTAAGACATTTGGTAGGGCATCTTTTCCTATCCCGTTTCCATTTCGCGAGTAAAGAAATTGTTAAACTATCCAAGCAAATGCTAAAAGTCGACCCGCGGTCCGGAGCTGGGATGGAGAGGAGAGGGGAGGAGGAGGACCGGATCTCAGGAAAGGAAATGGAAAGGGCGGGATTCGAGGTGAGCTCGGTAAAACTAAGGAAGTGGTCAGGAGGAACGCACCTTTGGGAGTGAGGGACGGAGCTTAAAGAAGTCTTGATTCGAGACGGTCCACGGGGCTTGAGGGCGGGACTATGGAAGGCAGAGGATGGAACCTTGAAAGGCAGTCCCACGGGAAGAGAAACCAGTGGGAATTTGATTTCGGGACTTGGGAAGGGAGTCTGAAGGAAGAAGGCGTGAAGCGAAACCGGCTGAGGAAGGAGGCGGGGCCTTGAGGAGGCAGGTTGGAGGGGAAGGGGTTCTCCAAAATGACAGGCCAATGGGAGGGAGCGGAAGGCCCTTGAAGGCGGGGTCGGAGAGAGAGAGGAACCCACCTTTAAAGTAAAGGAGAGGGGGGCCAGGGCCGTGGGGTGCGTGCGGAGAGCGTCCGGTGGGTGATGTAGAACGTCTCCCCAGGATCCTGCGTCGCAGCCTCAGCCCCTGTGGTCTGGTCGGCTCATGGAACTGCCCCCCGACGCGCCTACGGCTCCAGGGAACTCCCACAAATCCTAGCTGGGTGCCTCGACCGCTGCCATGGCAACGGCGTCTCGCGGTGACCATTCCAGGGCGGGAGCAGGAAGTTGCATTATGAATAAGGGGCCGTCCCGGAAGTGCGTCAGCTCCTCCTCCTTGGCGTCGAGTCTCTCGGACGCCGCCATCTTGCGAGCTTGTTGTATCGTCCGTGCGGGGAGCTGCTTTGACGCAGCACCGCTCACCTTCAGCGAGGCGGACTGGCAGCCCTGAGCGTCGCAGTCATGCCGGCTGGACCCGTGCAGGCGGTGCCCCCGCCGCCGCCCGCGGCCACCGAGCCCAAACAGGTACCGCGACCCCCACACCTCGACCGGTAGCCCTATCCTCGGCTTGGGCCCTCCCCTCCGGCGCGGGCACTCCTCACTTAAGGCAGAGGAAGAAGCGGCCGCTTACGAGGGCTTGGAGGACTACAAGTCCCAGGAGGCAGCGCGCTTCCCGCTCTGCGCGGCCTTCGGTAACGAAAGCGCCCTTGGAACAGTCGTTCTTAAAGTGTGGTCCGCGGACCAACAGCATCAACGTTGCCCGGGAGTTCATTAGAAATGCTAGACCTAAATATTAATGCATTTTTAATAATATCTCAAGGTGATTGATTAAAGTTTGAGAATCAATGATTCTGCCCATTCGCATGTTTTCTGTGGTTATTGGGCCCACCTTTGGCCCTCCTCACCCTTGCCTTTCCCGCCGGCTTTTGCCCAGCAATCCTTAATTTCGCATCCTGTACGGTACAGTTTAGACAGTTCACAGCATCTGCTTGGTGCTTACTCTAAGCCAAACACCGTACCATGCTCCGGCTTACCCAGAATGAATGAAGCACAACTAGTGTAGGGAGCTCATGGTTCTAGTGGGGAGGCATATATAAGATGAATATTCTACAAATGTTTATTTTTTCGATCACAGTCAGCACTTACTAGCTGAGAAGGAAAAGGGTGTGTAAATAATTGCAGTACTGTGTGATAAGCACTTTTAGCATCAGGTACAAAAGAAACAAAGCAACATTTCTTTGATGGAGTGAAGGGGAAATTAAAGTAGGTGAAGCCTACATGAGTGACAGGTAAATGGCTTTTAGAAGGATGAATTAGTAGTTTGCCAGACAGGTGATTGGAAAAGGTTAATGGCATCCTTTATTCATTAAGTAAGCATTTATTGAATACATACTATATGGTGACCACTGCTTTGGGTTCAGAATACAGCAGAGTACATGATAGAAGAGGTCTATACCCTTACCACAAGTATTTTAAATATATCTGTATTCCTGGCATTTCCCAAGTCACTTGGGGAAAAGTAAACAAAGTAATACCAGATAATTGCAAAGACATCAGGGTAGGAATCAGATGATGTCTCTGGTAAAGAGTAAATTAAAAAGTGTGATTGAAACATAGGATTGGGAGAGTGGTGGCAAAAGATGCATGAAAGGGCTATAAAGGCTATAGAGTTAATTTATTTAAAGTTCTTAGAAAAGTATATGGAACCAACCTGCGTGCCTGATAAATGTTATCGTTGAATGTGGAGGCTGAGGAAGGGAAAGGAGGCCCATGTTTCTGCCCTGGATGACAGTATATTGTTGGCCAGTTATGAGAAAAGTGGTTAGAGAGGAAAGTGCCTGGGAGTTAGCTGGATCTGGAGTTCTGTGGCACACAAGAGTGATCGGGGACATCAATTTGTGTGTGATTGTTCAGCCTAGAAGTGGTAGGGGAAGTGAAGGACCCATGGTTGGAGTGCCTGAGAACAGTGTGAATACTGTGGAGAATAGAATTTTGGGGAACTCTAACATAGGGCAGGAGGTGAAACAGGAGCCAGGAAGGAAACTCGGATGGAATGGTGAGCAAGAAGGCAAGACACATGAGAATGGGGCCTGGGATTTGAGTGGAGAGGTTTGTGAAGGAATGGTCATGGTCACATGACCAGATAGATGACTGCTGTAGTTGGCTGTGGGCAGTCATATTTGACTTTGGCAAGAGCACTTGAAATGGATGGGAACCAAACAGGAGCTGAGGAAATAGGTAGGAATGGCAAGACAGAGAAATCAGGAAATTTAGCTATCAGAGGAAGAGGAGGAGAGGACAGCCACAGAAAAGAATATGAGGGCAGGGAACTGCTATTTTTTAAGATGAGAGACTGACCCTTTGTTTACTAAGGGAAAGAAACTGGTGAAGAAAGAATATTGGAATTTACAGGATAGTTGATGTTGTATATTCCAGTAGGGTTTCACAAAACATTTGAGCATTGAGTGGTAAAGACTGGAATAGATGCAGAGGAAAACGACATAAGGAGCTGCCAGCAAAGAGTCGCCTATCTTTATTCAGCAGTCATTATCTGGACTCTTGGTACAAATGCAGAGTCTCAGTGTCACTGAGACCAGCTAGCAGCAGGAAGCCAAGGAGGCTGCTCTCTTCACTGGTTCCCTGCGAGAGTTCCATGCAAGCGCTGTACAATTAAGAGAACTGCTTTTCTGGAGCAATGGGTCCCGACTCAAGAAAAGTCCGTAAGAGAGAGTCTATATTGGCAATAAATTTTAGAGGAGGTTGACAGTAGGGATCCAGTCCCCCAGATCAGGAGTGTCGAGACATCATTTTCCTTTTGTTTTTCACAGCCCACAGAAGAAGAAGCTTCTTCAAAGGAGGATTCTACCCCCTCCAAGCCAGTGGTGGGAATTATTTATCCTCCTCCGGAAGTCAGGAATATCGTTGACAAGACTGCCAGCTTTGTGGCCAGGTAACATAGCTGCTTCTGCATTGTCACCTGGGTCCGGTAGCTTATCTAACCCCACAGCAGGGTCGTGAGGTAGGCAGTGGGCAAGATTGGCATCTCCAGGACAACATGGCCATGGCAGAATGTGAGTCACGCCATCCCCAGGTCACCAGGAGCCAGTGCTTCCAAAGTAGGCCTGAGGAAGTGCCTGGAAAGCTGTCATGGATAATGTGTGTGTGTGTCTGAGCTGCTGACTGGAGGAAGACATGAAAAGGGAGTTGATCATTCTCACCATGCAAGAACTGCACTCCTTAAACCTTCAACTGACCCATCTGCAAAATGGAATAAAATAATGCTTCAGAGTTGTTGTGAGGCAGGAGAGAAGGAATGAGGCTGAGTGCAGTTCAAGTACATCATACAGGTGTCAGCTGTCTTCGTGGATGACATGGAAATCAGTTGCAGAGTTCCTCTCATCCTTCCCCATCATATTTTACACGCTCCCACTTCCTCAGGTGAAATTCTCTTGATGGCCACTTGACTCCAAAGGTCAGCATATCCCCTGGTTTAAAGTATTGAAAGTATTCTTTTGACAGCTAGCAAGCCACATGCAGCCTATTGAGCTTTTGTTTGTCCTCACAATGTATACATTTTTTAAAGATTTATTTCCAGCTGGGAGAGGAGGTAGGGAGAAGGGAGGGTCAGAGGGATAGAATCTCAAGCAGACTCCCCACTGAGTGGGGAACCTGACACAGGGCTCCATCCCACAACCCATGAGATGATGACCTGGGCCAAAACCAAAAATCTTGACACTCAACCAACTGAGCCACCCAGGCACCCCATCACAGTATTTTTTTTTTTTAACTTGAATAAGTTACCACCATTTAAAAATGAGATTGTGCAATAAATCTAGATTTCTGGCTTCTGTCAATGAACTGGACAGCTCATTGCATGTAAGCAATAGCTGGTCTAGAACAGACTACTGCCCTCAGGGCAAATGCTTTCCAGAGGGCCATGCCTTGACCCTGAGGCAGCATCCCCATCATAGTACATTGTTTAATAAAGGGCTCCTTCCTTTTTTTTTTTTTTTTTAAGATTTTATTTATCTATTCATGAGAGACACACATGCATAGACACAGGCAGAGGGAGAAGCAGGCTCCATGCGGGAAGCCCGATGTGGGACTTGATCCCGGGCCCCCAAGTCCTGGGCTGAAGGCGGCGCTAAATCGCTGAGCCACCCGGGTTGCCCCCCCCTCCTTTTTTTTTTTTTTTTTTTTTTTTTTTTAAGATTTAGAGGGCTCCTTCTTTTCCAACCTCCTAATAAAGTGAAACCTAGAGGTTACTCTGCTTGAGGCCATTTGCTTGTTGGTTGGGGTCCATGCAAATTTATATCCTCACATTTCAAAGGCTTTGATTAACCTGAGTATTACATTAAGTCTGCTCTGTGCTTGGTTGAACAGTGTCAGATTTAGGGCTGTGAGTGTTGTGTTTATGATAAATGTTTAATGTCTTATAGCAACGCTCATGCTTCTCTTTTCACCTTGATAATTTAAAAACAGAATAATAGGAAAAGGGTGTTAGAGGAAGAATCATCACAATCTACCAGAGTAGTTTCTACCAGCTGTTTTCACTTTCCTGTTTCCTTCTGGTCCTTGACATCCTTTTTTAGATCCTTGTAATACTAGTAGATACTTTCACATCTTGCTTTTCCATTTTGTGCTGTGTTATGAGCATTTTCCCATGTTGTTCCATGGTTCTGTGATGCTGTGTCGTCCTTGATGCACCATGTGGAGGTGATGGGCCTTTCTTGACTTGGCTGTCTCCTATTTTCCTTCATGGTTGTTTCCAACTTTTCAATTTGGCAAACAAAGCTGTGGGGAAATCTGAGCATTTTCTTTTCTTTCTAGATTGTTTTCTTAGAAGAAAATTCTGTGTGGCACATTACTGGCTGAAAGAGTGTTTTTAAAGATTTTCTTAAGCATTTTGCCAAGTAGCTTTCCAATTATTTTGTGCCAATCTCTGCTGCCACAGAAATGAGTATCCAAGTTTTCTTTAAAATAAAAATGTATGCATCCATATTTCTAGATTTATTTTTGGCTAAGGTGATTGCCTTGTAGGCATTTCTAAAAACTGTGGACTTGCTTTCATTTACATTGCAATCAAGGAACAGACCAGCATCATCTCGCTCTGTGATAAAGGAAGCATACAAGACCATCTTTTCACTTCTGTTGGGTCTCACATATCAATTGATGGAGCATACAGTTAAAATTACTGAGTATGTTTTTCCGAAAGAAGTTTTTTTCTCTCTAGACTTGGTCTTCCTTTCCCTGCATTTTCCTGTCAAG